ATGAGAAATCACATGGAAGATAACATGTTAAGTTCATTTCTGGAGGCAGGCAAATTGGCCGACACCTTCAAGGCCATTCGGTATTTGAGTGAGAGGCTCTCAAAATCTCTTCCCAAAAGTATTGGGGTGATAAAGAACGTCAGAGGAAGAGCTCTGAAGATGGTGAAGACAGAAGCTATGACTGAAATACAGCACAACTCTGAAGACCAGGCAGATACTCTCAGAGACAAGACTACTGCGCGTAGTGCCGTTACTGCCATTATCCCAGCCAGTTTATCTCAGATTGTTTCAAATTCCAAGGACAGTGTTACACAGGTGGTAAGGCGAGTAGGTAAAGGCCTCAAAGCCGATGGGTAACATTTCTCCAGTGTTAAGTATTACGAATTCCCTGGATGAAGAAAATGAATGCATAGTCCTCTCGGTAGTGAACGTCAGATACTTTTAAGGGAATTTGAGCCTCCCGTGTAAGTAAAATTCTGCAGAAATGTAGGGGCTCATTGTTTTCTATTGCATCCCACATCCAATGATCACCTAAAAATGTACTCTTCTAAGCTCTAGGTGAGGCACTTATTACTGCTCTTCTTAAAAATATGACGCTTCTTAATCGTTGAAGTTCTCTTTTCCAAATTGTCCAGAAGCAGCTCTGATTATGGTTGTAGCAGTGGCATAGTCCAAGGGTAAACTTTGTGATGAATGGTTTTGAAAACCGACAAGTTGAAGATTGAGACACTTATGCAACGTATGGGAATCTTTATTGAGAAACGTTTCGCCACACAGTGGCTTCATCAGTCCAACACAAAGCAGAAACGTGTAAGGAGAGGAGGAGTTTGAGGTAATCAGTCCCTCAGCCTGGAGTCGATGTGTTCAGTCTATCAATCTTGTAGAATGTACAGCATAGGGCCGTAGGCGTGGCTTATATACTGTAGTCAGGTGAAGTGAAGCAGGAGGAGGCGGGGCCATAGTGGTACCATCCACTAGTCGAAGTAGGGATCTTGATACAAAGAATTCTTCAAACTTGTCCAACCTATGGACGAAGACCTACTTAGACTAGTGGATGGTACTCCGCCTCCTCCTGCTTCGCCTCACCTGACTACAGTATATAAGCCACGTCTACGGCCCTATGCTGTACACTCTACGAGATTGATGGACTGAACACATCGACTCCAGGCTGAGGGACTGATTACCTCAAACACCTCCTCTCCTTACACCTTTCTGCTTCGTGTTGGACTGATAAAGCCACTGTGTAGCGAAACGTTTCCAAAATAAAGATTCCCATATGTTGCTTAAGTGTCTCAATCTTCAAGGGTAAACTTTGTTGAGAATGCAGACCTTACCATGGGAGATCCAAACCTTTGGCTGGAAAGTTATTTGACAATGGCGAAAGCTCCTTCGTCAAACCTTCATGTTCTATGGCCCATAAAACCATCTTTGAAGCCGACGCTGTGTCTCTCTAATTGTTACTATTTGAAAAATAATTTTCTCACAAGAAAAACTCCCATTGGTGTGGAGGAAACTAGACACCAATGTCTGACAGGTTAGTCATTCATTCCAAAAGCATTTATAACGCAGATATTGCTGGCAGCTCATAATTCATCTACAGGAGTAACATTTAGGTGTTACCAAAACCATTTACTGAATCCCTAAGTATTTTTATTTATGTGAAAAAAAAATCATGACGAAAACAGTTTACCATTGCTTGCACAACACTTCCTTAAACCGTATACTAATTACAAATAATTTTCGTTTGAATACTAAATATATGTAGTCTTTCAGTTTAGCGATGGATTCACCCATTAGTGCTATCATGACCACCATATACATAGAACATCTGAAGGAAGACAGGCAGCCAATTTACATCACACAATGTGTAAAATTGGTCAGATATGTGGAAGATGTCCTAATCATTTCCCCAAGACTCCCAAACATCCTGAATCTTCTAATCATCATCAATTCCGTGCAACGTTCCATCAAATTCATTACTGAAGATTCCTTACCCAGCTTAAATAAAAATCTATCACAAATCAAAAAATATTTACCTTCCAAATTATCATTTACATCTCAAGGATAGAAGCCAAACTTGGGATCATGAATGAATTATTTAAGATCACACGGAATCTCTCACACTTCCTCTTCTCTCTAAGAAAAATGTTAATGTATCAATCAAGGTTTTTAAGCAATCTCAATTCTCATGACATTTCATTACAGACTTTACCCAGCAAATACATTGCTCTTCCCATCAACTAAATCCACAATACACCTTCAGATATTTACGATAGCTTAATCAATATTATAATCACCAACATCTCATAAAAAAACATAAAACACTGTGTCAAGAAAAGGAAGCAGATGAGCACCACTGTCATGAGGAGGATGTGGCAAGATTTTTGTAGGTAAACCTTACAGAGAACTAGATACTTGAGTCAGAGAACCTGTTAACGCATGCCAATGTGACGACACAACAAATACATTCTCTCAGCACAGAAACACCAAGAACCACCTAATGAAATTTCCAGAAGAACGTGACAGGCGATGCAAATGATGTTTAGAATCTGCAGTAATAGCCACAGTCAGCAACATTAATCAAAACTCAGGAGCATTCAAAGCCTCCAAAGTCATAGCAACGTTAATTAGGTATCCCCGAAGGGGTGCCATTAAGAGATTGCTTGATATATTTTGCTTATTTATCCCAATCGGCTTCAAATTTACAAAAATTGTGTAACAAGAACCTAATTCGTGGAAGAGATGGCAAGTTCGTGTGCCCAATGACCAAAGTTGTTGAATCCATTCTATTTATCCTGGAATGGCTTGGATAACTTCCAAAATCATGAGTGGCGCATTTTAATAATATAATAATATTAATAATATCTTTATTTCTACAACTAAATGTACAGGGTATATAGGCCTAGCTGACATCAATGATATACTACTATATAGAAAGCCGCTTGTTATGCTCAGCATTTCGGGCAAATTAGATCACTTTTATCCCAGGATGCGATCCACATCATTCGACTAACACCCAGGTACCCATTTTACTAATGGGTGAACATGGACAGCAGGTGTCTTAAGGAAACAAGTCTTAATGTTTTCCAGCCGTACCGGGGATTCGATCTCCGGACCTTAGTGTGTGAATTGAGTGCGCTAGCGATCGAGCTACGAGACACCTAATATCTCAAAAATCTTGTCAAATAATTTAACAACGAAGGAGAGTGAAATTCAGATAAGTAGGTACAGATAAGTAGGTACAGATAAGTAGGTACAGATAAGTAGGTACAGATAAGTAGGTACAGATATCAAAATTGGTATGTGAAAGATTATGAAATTTGTGTTCCCGAAAAATTACGTTAAATAATTTTTAGTTTACCTGTTCTGAACCGCTTCAAGTTTTAATAACTATTGCATCTTAGGGCAAAATATATGTAGCAAAATATTTTAATTTTTTTTTGTAAATTATACGCTTCACGTGACATAAATTATACCTTGTGGGAAGCCGTCTGTGGCTGTTGTTTATTCTGACTCACAATATTTATGTTATCTTACTACTTTATATATGTTAACCTGCCATGAATTAGGAGAAAATATTTCCATCGATACCATGACCTGCAATCTTAACATTCTCTTTGCGACTATCAAATGACTAACGAAAAACCAAATAAACTACATTATGTATTTTATTATGCTTCATAACCTCAAATAATTTTCTAAACGTTAGTAAATCTGTCAGGCAAGAAAGTTCCGTGGTGTATCCTAGTTGAGACTAGTTAAATTATTCTCACTAAGGTGACTTCAGTTATTCTCACTAAGGTGACTTCAATTATTCTTACTAAGGTGACTTCAGTTATTCTCACTAAGGTGACTTCAATTATTCTAAGGTGACTTCAATTATTCTCACTAAGTTGACTTCAATTAATCTCACTAAGGTGACTTCAATTATTCTCACTAAGGTGACTTCAGTTATTCTTACTAAGGTGATTTCAGTTATTCTCACTAAGGTGACTTCAATTATTCTTACTAAAGTGACTTCAATTATTCTCACTAAGGAGACTTCAATTATTCTCACTAAGGTGACTTCAGTTATTTTTACTAAGGTGACTTCAGTTATTCTCACTAAGGTGACTTCAATTATTCTAAGGTAACTTCAGTTATTCTCACTAAGTTGACTTCAGTTATTCTCACTAAGGTGACTTCAATTATTCTTACTAAGGTGACTTCAATTATTCTCACTAAGGTTACTTCACTTATTCTCACTAAGGTGACTCCTTATTATAACGGTTATAATTTATTCAAATAATTTAGGCTGGACATATTGGGTGACAGTTTAATGGTAATGTATTTCCTAAATTGAAGACAGGAATTACATTAACCATCTTCCATGGCTCGGGAACTACGTGTTTGAAGGATTTTTTGGGGTTATTTTTTTACCCCAATTTTCCCTCCTGTGTTTTTCCGGGTATTTCCCCCTTGGAAACACTTCAGGCCCGGGGGGACTTATTTTGCCTAATATTTCTTTTATATTAAATTTTGTCTTCTAAAATTACTTTCACTAAGTTTTTTTTTTAAAAGGTTTTTCTCATCCTCCCTGGGGTGGAAATGCAAAGAGTACGAAACCCTTTTTTTTTGGGCCGCATGGACACACCCTCATTTACAGGCTACTCCCCCAACCCAAGCGAACCATTTTGCTAAAGTTATAAAGGGGCCCCATGGGTTAAACCCTAGTGACCGGGTTTTCTGAAAAATTAAAAAGGTGGGATTGACAATCGAAAGAGGTTATGGGAACCGCCTCCTTCTGCCCTTGTCTTTCCCCCTTTCCTAAGTGTTGAAGCACGGCCCCTGCATTTTGGGTGGCTTCTATTTCGCCTTGCTTACCGTGGAGGGCCAACTATTTTTAAATCACTGTACTTAGTGAAACATATTGCTTTTATAAGGGGGAAAGGGATAATATAAGTCTAAACTTTTTCCCTACTGTTTTATTTGCCCCCATTACCCCGGGGATAACAGGCCATTGAAACCCTGGGTTTTGAAAATATGGGTAGCCTGTCCGAGACGGGACTTAAAAAACCCGGTTGACTTGGGGAAAGTTTTGAGCGGGAAATTTTGGTAGCTTGCTTTTTTCGTTTCGCTTAAAAATTTTTTGCGGGGCCCGTTGCTTAGGGATCGGGCCTTTTGCTATTGTGGGGATCGTTCACAGCTCCTACAAGCTTTTTCAGTGTGCTCGCTTCGCAAAGGGTCAGTCTTGTTTTCAGTCGGCTTTGCTTGTAGGGCGTTTTCTCCATCGGACTGTGCATAGCAAAGGGCGGGGTTCTGCAAATTAACGTGTTACTTTTGGGGTTTTTTCGTACGGGGCCCATAGCAAAATTTATGCCACCTAACGAGTCAGACCCCTGGGTCGGCATATACTTTGCAAAACCTCCCTAAATTGTCCCTACAGTTTTTGTTGGCAAATTGCTGGGTTTCCTTTTGGCTTCCCTAAAAAACGCACTCTTAAAGCTGCGCAACTGCGTTTCACTTATTGCTGCCAAAATTTGAAGAAAATTGGAAACATCAAAACCTCCTCCCTCTACGGGCTAGGGAAAAAACCCTACTTTTGTTCTCGCAGGGGGAAAAGATGATACACCTACGGAGAAAAGGGTCAGTTTTAGTGAAACAGGGGTTTGGGCCCTTCAGGGTGAATCGGGTTTCGTTGGCACTTCAGCTGGCAAAAATCAATCTTTGACAAACGGGGAAACAGAGAGCATTCGCAAGGGAAGAATTTAAAGGGGAAAAAGAAAAAGGAGGCAGTTTTCCCCTTCTGAAAACGTTTTAAATTACAAAAAGCATACAGCTTTTTCCCCGTTAAATGGGGCCGAACCAGAGAAATTTTTTCAAAGCTTCAAAAATCAGGCTCCCTTAGGGCCCCGGAACAGCACGGGCACTTTGGTTCATACAGCTTATTGGGTAAGCACGGGAAATTTTTACGTCGGAAATTAAAAACCGACGCTGAATTCCCCTGATTATCAAGTGGGTGAAGCCCAAATTTTGGGACATATACTTTACCCCCCCACTAAAATCGTAAGCCCATCAAATTAACGGGCGGCAGTTTGGTCAACCCCCGGGTGGACTTTTTTGAGACAGCAAACCAAAAGTTTTTTACCAGCTGGTAAAAGCGAGGGGTGTCCAAAATTTTGGGGAGCTGGGGGCAGCTTATTCTGATTGATAACCTCGGGAGTCTGGGGGAAAATCTAAAAAATTTTTAAACTCCCCCCCTACAGAGCTAATCCTGAAAGAAAAGGGTTATTTCAGCAGGAAGTAGCCCTTTTTTGTTAGAACGGTTTTAAGTGGGGATCATCTAGTCCATGGCTTCACCGTGCATCCAAATAAAGAAGGCGGGGGGGAGGGTTTCTTTGTCACAGACTCCCGAAAAGTGAACGGTACAATTACGTTTGCTTACCCCCCTTCCCCCCCTGGATGACGTAATTGACTTTGTGGGAAAAAATTTTTGGGTCCAAATTAGATCCCCTTTAAAAGGGTTTAACTATCAGGTCCCTTTTGGGGACTTTAAAGGCAAGGGAAATCTCTGCCTTCGAAATTCCCAGGAGGTCTTATCAGTAAAACAGTTCCCCCCTTCGGAATGAAAAATTCCCCCTTTTTCTTTTCCAGAAATTTACCCATCGGGCAAATTAAAGGATTTGAAGGGGGGGCAGCATACCTAGATGATTTTGTTGTGGTGCCCTGATACTTGGATCAACACCTACTTAGATTTAAAGCTCTGTTTGAAAACCCTTTAAAAATTTCCCCAAATTAAAAACATTTAATTTTAAAATAAATTTTCCTTTGGCCCGGCCCTACCATTTTTTCTAGGCCATAAGAAAGGTATGGTAATGTTGCACCAAAATTTGCAAAAGTTCTTTTCGTTTAAAAAGTTATCCAGTTCCTCATGATAGGAAATCTCTTCAACGTTTCCTAGGCATAATATTTTTTTAACAAAAGATTCTGAAAGTTTTTCCCAGATTTTTAGCCCCTCTTACCTCTTTTTACCAGTCAAAAATTTCCCCTTTTAATTTGGACGTCAGATTGTAAAAAACGGGCTTTTTAATAAAGCAAAAAGATTTTGGGGCCCTCTGAAACCCCATTCTCCTGCCCCAGTTTCCCTCCAAACCTTTTTCATTACGGTTGAGGCTTTTTGATTTCTGGGGTTGGGGCGGTACATTACAAATCAAAACAAGGGGGTTGCACCTGTACCCATACTTTTCAGCAATTTCCAAGCCCATCAGAGAGTTTTACCCTACCATTAAAAAAGAACCCCCTCGCGCTGGTAATGGCTTTGGAGCATTTTTGATGTTTATGGGGCCAGACATCGCAGGGGGTCCCCAGTCTACAGTGTCACAAAACCCCTTATCTATACCAAGCCAAAGAAGAAAAAAAAAAAAAAACACAAGGCTTATTTCGTTGGACGGGTCCCGGCCCGCACCCTAAAACCCTTTAAAATTCGTTTCAAATTTCCGGCAAAAAAATGTGTTGGGAGACCTTTTTTCCCAAAAGTCTAGTTTAAAATTTTATTTAGGTTAGGGTGTATTTTTTGGAAAACCCCCCCTTTCCAAACTCCTTTTTTTTTTCCCCGGGGGAAAAAAAAGGGGGTTTTTTTTTGTGGGGGGGATAAAAGGGGTACCGCCCGCTTGTACTTGGCCTAATTTTGGGTTAAACTGACTGCTGTCCCACTCTGAGTTTTTGGGTTTGGCTTTCAGGGACTAGGAAAGCTGAGCTCTATCTAAGAGTTGGATTTTGGAGAGGATAGGCCCGGTTTCCCCTTATTTTTTGCCCGGGGGGCACGGTTAAACCCCCTGGGGGTGGGAGCCTAATCCTGAGCCCCTTTTTTTGGGTGGGGGTGGGCATGGGAAAATACGTAACCTTTTTTCGGCGCATGGAAACACACCCTCATTTTTTCAGGGTATCTCCCCCAACCACGAACCAGGGTTTCTAAGAGTTGAGATTTGGGGGCCCCCTCGTTCAACTAAATGAACCCAAAGGTTTTACCAATAAGAAGGTGGGATTGACAAACGCAGAGGTTTTTGTTTGGGTACCGCTCTCCTGCTGCCCTTTTCATTCCCCCCTCTAGAGCTGGGTTTAAAACAAGGCCCGCTAACTTTTGGCTTCTAAATTTTTGCCTTTCCCTTCCGGGAGTGCACTAAAATTTTTCACTGTACAAGTGTAAATTTGCTGTTATAATTTGGGGAAAGGGTAATATTAAATCTAAACTTTTTCTACTGTGTTTTTTTGCTCCCATTAAAACCCGGGATAAAGGCCATTTGAAATCCTAGGTTGTAAAACTGAAACAATTTTTTTTATTTCAAACCACCATCAGGGGCATCACTGCACATCCACGATTTAGGTCATCACTGTCACCTTTCCAAACCCTCAGGTGGGAAACACGGCACATCCACCACGGTGCATTTCCCAAAAAATTTTTTTTTTTCCCCCCCCCCCCAACAGGTGGGTCATGTCACATCCACCATTTTAGGTGCTCACAGTCACATCCACCAACAGGGGCATCACTGTCATATCCACCATCCCGGGCATCACCTTTTCACAACCACCATCAGGGGCATCACGGGCACATCCACCAACAGGGGCATCACCCGTCACAATCCACCATCAGGTGCATCAATGGCACATCCCCCATCAGGGCATCCCCTGTCACAACCCCCCATCAGGTGCATCAAATGTCCCCAAACCACCATCAGGCGCATCCCCTTCCAATCCACCATCATGCATCACTTTCACATCCCCCATCAGGTCATCACTGCCATATTTCCCCCATCAGGCGCTTTACTGTCACATCCACCATCAGGTGGGATCACTGTCACATTTCCCCAACAGGTTTCATCACTGTCACATCCACCATCAGGTGCATCACTGCCACAATACCATCAGGTTTCAAACACTGCCACATCCACCATCGGCCCTCACGGGCACCCTCCACCATCAGGGCATCACTGCACAGGGCCCCAAAAAAGGTGCTCAAATGTCCACATTTCCCCCACAGGTTTCAAACACTGTCACTTCCCCAAACAGGTGCATCACTGCCACATCCACCATCAGGCGCATCCCTGTCCCCATCCCCCATCAGGTGCTCACTGTCAATCCACCATCAGGGGCATCACTGTCACATCCACCATCAGGTGCATCACCCGCCCCATCCACCTCAGGCGCATCACTGTCACTTTCCCCCCATCAGGGGCATCAAATGTCCATCCACAACAGGTGCACACTGTCACATCCCCCATCAGGTTTCATCACTGTCACTCCACCATCAGGGGCAACAAATGTCACATCCACCATCAAAGGGGCCCTCACGGGCCCCATCCCCCACGGTTTCCATTTTCACCTTTCCCCCTCAGGTGCATCACTGTCCCCCCCCCCATCCCCCAACAGGTGCAAACACTGTCCATCTACCAGCAGGCTTTACTGTCACAACCACCATCAGGGGCATCACTGCCACATCCACCACAGGTGCATCACTGCACATCCACCATCAGGTGCAAACACTGCCACATCCACCATCAGGTGCATCCCCGTCCCCATCCACCAAACAGGGGGCACACTGCCAAAATTTCCCCCATCAGGGGCATCACTGTCACCAAAACCCCCATCAGGGGCATCACTGTCACATCCACCATCAGGGGTTTCACTGTCCATCCACCATCAGGGGCATCACTGCCACATCCAAACCCTCAGGTCAACACTGTCGCATTTCCCCCATCAGGGGCATCACTGTCACTTTCCAAACCCCAGGGGCATCAAATGTCACATCCCCCCATCAGGTCATCCCTGTCACATCCACCATCAGGGGGCATTCACTTGGGACATCCACCATCAGGTGCAACACTGGCCTTCCCCCGTCAGGTGCATCACTGCACATCCACCATCAGGCGCATCACTGTCACATCCGCCACAGGTGCATCACTGTCACAAAAACCACCATCAGGTGCAAAAACACTGTCCATCCAACCCTCAGGTGCATAAATGTCACCTCCATCCAAAGTCACCTCCCCATCAGGTGCATCACCCGTTTACAAACCCCCCCCTGTCACATCCCCCATCAGGTGCTCACTGACACATCCACCATCAGGTGGGATCACTGGCCATCCCCATCAGGGCATCACCCGTTCCCCAACCACCATCAGGTGCATCACTGTCCCCCATCCCCATCAGGTGCATCACTGTCCCATCCAAACCCTCCCGGGGCATCACTGTCCCCATCCACCACAGGGCCCCCCTCCTGTCACATCCCCATCAGGGGCATCACTTCACATCCACCCAGGTGCATCACTGTCACATCCCCCATCAATGATCACTGTTCCACCCCCACCATCAGGTGCATCACGTCACATCCCCCCATCAGGTGCATCACTGTCACATCCAAACCCTCAGGTGCACAATGTCGCATCCACCATCAGTGCATCACTGTCACATCCCCCATCAGGGGATCACTGGCACATTTCCCCCGTCAGGTGGGATCACTACCTCACCACCATCAGGACATCACTGTCACATCCAGCATCAGGTGCATCACCCGTCCCCATCCCCATCAGGTGCATAAAAGTCACATCCACCACAGGGGCATCCCCTGGGCAAAATCCCCTCACTGTCACATCCCCCCATCAGGGGCATCACTGTCACATCCATCACTGTCCCCCAAAACCACCATCAGGGTCATCAAATGTAAACATCCCCCATCAGGGGCATCACTGTCACATCCACCAACAGGGGCAAACCTGCCCCATCCACCATCAGGGCATCACTGCCACATCCACCCTCAGGTGCCCTCACTTTAATTTCCCCCATAGGTTTCCAAACACTGTCACATCCACCATCAGGTGCATCACTGTCACATTTCCCCCATCAGGTGCATCACTGTCACACCACCATCAGGGGCAAACACTGTCACATCCCCACAGGTGCATCACTGTACATCCACCCTCGATGCATCACTGTCACATCCACCTTTAGGTCAAACACTGTCCCCATCCCCCATCAGGGGCATCACTGTCACATCCACCATCAGGTGCATTTACTGTTTAATCCCCCCCATCAGGTGCATCACTTTTCCCAAACCCCCCCATCAAGGGGCAAACACTGGGCACATCCAAAAATCAGGGGCATCACTTTTCACATCCCCCCTCAGGGGCATCACTGTCACAAACCCATCAGGGCATTTACTGTCACATCCACAAACCCGGTCATCAAATGTCACATTTCCCCCACAGGTGCATCACTGTCACATCCCCAAACAGGTGCATCACTGTCACATCCACAAAACAGGTGCATCACTGTCACATCCACCAACAGGTGCTCACTGTTCCCCATCCACCATCAGGGGCATCACTGTCAATCCACAAAAAGGTGCCCTCACTGTCACATCCACCAAACAGGGGGCCCCCCCCTTGGCACTCCATACTATCATTCCACATCTCTTTTCTTCACTTTTTTTATCTCACCTTTCCAAAAATATAAAACTCCCCCATCCCCCATATAAGACTCACCACCCCACATATAAGACTCACCATCCACATATAAGACTCACTATCCACATATAAGATCACCACCACATATAAACTCCCATCCCACATATAAGACTCACCATCCATATATAAGACTCACCACCCCATAAAACTCACCATCCACATATAAAGGGGCCTACCATTTCCCCATATAAGAAAACCCCCATTCCCCCATTTTAAGACTCACCATCCCAATAAACTCACCATCCACAATAAGACTCAAACCAACCCCCATATAAGAAATCACCATCCACATAAAACTCCCACCCTCCACATAAAAAAAAACCACCTTTCCCCTATTAAACTCACAACTCCAAATTTTAAATTTTTTTCGGGTCATATCATAAAAATTCAGCTTTATATTGCTCATAAACTTGGGAAACCCAAAAAAGTTTTCCTTGTTTTACAAGGCACTAATAACTCCGGGGCCTATATCCTTCCCACTCATCTTACCTTCCCGGGGGACCCATCCCCCCTTACACCTCCTCTGTCCCCCCATTTTCCCTCCCGTCCCCGTCTTTTCTGTCGCTGCCTGTAGTCTTTCTCTGTCCTCTGTTTTTTGTCCCGCTGCTGTTTTTTCTGTCTGCCCGCCAGTTTCTGTCCCCCTGTATGTCCCCCCCTCCTCCCCCCCCTCCCTCTCTCCTCTCCTCCTCTCTCCCTTTTCCCCTCTCTCTCTCTCCTTATCCGCTTAAATGCTTTTATAAATCTCATCTAACCTTTTTGGGAAACTTAAAAACCTTTTCCGCCAGGGGAAATAATTTCTTTGGGTTTTTTCCGAATTAATAAACCCCCTTTTTTTTACATTCAAACCTTAACCTCCTTCATTGTCTTGGGGTTTTCCCGGGTGACCAAAACTTTTTTTCTTGTGAACGTATAAAACATATGTGGGTTTAAAATACTTTAAATTTGAGAAATACGTATTTTTAATGAAAAAAACCGAGCATCACCCGAGGAATTTCATGGGTAATTCCCGAATTTTTACCTTATAGGGAATTCCTAAACCCATTTTATGGCCTAACATATATATATATATATAAAATATATATATATAAATATATATATATATTATATATAAATAATTTTTAAAAATAATATGCAATAAGATCACGGTAAACAGGTAAAATCAAAATTTTGCAAAACAACCACAGTGAAAGGAAAGTGGGAAAATTTCCCAAACGCTTTTATGACTTCTCACATTATCAAGCAACTAAAAAAGACAATACATCAAAGGAAGACAAATTTTAGGGGGTTTAAACCACACCTCACCATCCAAAATCCCCAACAAGCAACACCTATGCGCGAAAGACAAACCCCATCATAAAAATGAGGGAAAAACTGCAGCAGGCCTGGGTGGCCCAACAAAAAGAGGTCCTCTACGACATTTTTCCCTTTAAAAAAAAATTTTGTTCAAAAACCCCTACTCTACCCCAAAAATTTAAAATTTATTATTTTTTCCAAAAAGAATTTTTTAAATTTTTTCCCCAAATTTTATTAATTTTAAATGTATCAATTTTATATAAACCAAAGGAAATATTACTATTATTTTCAAAACTGCTTTTTATGAAAAAAAATTCAATTATATTCCTGTCGACCATGGACTTGCCTGATACAAATTTCTCAACTTTTTGAAAACCAATTGGATGGTAAAATCTCTCACATGAATAAATAGAGCATTGGAATCTTGTCCAGTTCTAATGCTATATTTATGTTGTTTTAATCTTAATTCGGACTTTTACCAGTTTGACCGTAATAAACTTTATTGCAAATTTTACAAGGAATCTTATAGACACATTCATCAGCATTTTGGGGGGAATTCTTTTTTTTTCACTGTATCAAGATTTTTAAATACAACCTTGATATTAAAAAGTGTCCTCTCCCTTTCCTCGTCCAATTTTTTTGGCCATATCTCTGGATATGATTTACATATCTCCTTGTTTATCTCCCTTATCATCTCCCAGACATCCCAGTAGCGTGGTATCAGTTCTCTGAGGGACATTTTTGCTCTTTCCCTTCTTTGATTCCTCTTACTGTCTGCTGTTGTTTCTTCATCCAGCTCCTTGCTCCTATCGGTCCTCGCCTCTGTGTTTCACTTCAGCACTTCCAGTTCCTCCTCCATTCTCTGCATCCTTGCCCAAGCAGCATGAGCTCGTGACTGCCACTTCTTTCTCTCTGTAGATATCTTCCAAACTTCTCGACCATTGTGTTACAAACCTCACTGAGCCCTTTTTGCCACTCCTATTCCATTTTGCTCGTGATCCTTTCTCCCAGTGCTTCTTGTGTGAGTGATGAGTGTTTGTGTACTAACCTATTTGTTCTTACAGGGATCGAGTCTTAGCACCTTGTCCCATGTGTGAGTGTGTGTGTTGTGAACTTGAACTTGTATGACCAGAGCATTGGTAAGGTGGGGAAGAAAGAAGAATGGGTAAGAATGGAAAAATGCGAAAAGGGTGGGTCGTGGTAGGTTAGGTGGGATCATAATGGTAAGTGGTCTAACAACTTTGGTGCATTTTAATACATGTATGTGTGTGTGTATGTGCGTGTGTGTGTATGTGTGTGTGGTATGTGTGTGTGTGTGTGTGTGTGTGTGTGTGTGTGTGTGTTGTGTGTGTGTGTGTGTGTGTGTGTGTGTGTGTGTGTGTGTGTGTGTGTAGTGTCATTAATGAAATGAATTTCATTGAATGGGGTATAACACTCACCCATCAGTTTCACACAGGTATTACAATTGTGAACATTAAAATGGTATAAAATACCGACAGATTGTTAGGTAAGATACATATGCAACAGTTAGGTATCTTTATTTCGAAACGTTTCGCCTACACAGTAGGCTTCTTCAGTCGAGTACAGAAAAAGTTGATAAGAAGCAGAAGATACTTGAAGACGATGTAATCAGTCCATCACCCTTAAAGTTTTGAGGTGGTCAGTCCCTCAGTCTGGAGAAGAGCATTGTTCCGTTGTCTGAAACAATGTTTCAGACAACGGAACAATGCTCTTCTCCAGACTGAGGGACTGACCACCTCAAAACTTTAAGGGTGGTGGACTGATTACATCGTCTTCAAGTATCTTCTGCTTCTATCAACTTTTCTGTACTCGACTGAAGAAGCCTACTGTGTAGGCGAAACGTTTCGAAATAAAGATACCTAACTGTTGCATATGTGTCTTACCTATTACAATTGTGTAACTGCATGACTCTGAGTTGGCAAGGGATATACTGTTTGCAATTGCCTTATACTGCAATTGCAGGATGTAGGCTGGAAATGATAGCATGGCGATTGATGTAGGTCAATTGCTAACTGGAGAGGCTGGCCCCCTCAGCTGCTTCAACGGTGGTGACCTGCCACAGTAGGTTTGCAGATGTTACATGGTTAGATGTAACAGTTGATAAGTTAAAGGGGAAATCTCCATAAATTGGGTGGTGTTATCTTTATTGTCATAAAATAGTTCTGGTGTTACCCCATACCCCCGGCCGGGATTGAACCCGCGGTCATAGAGTCTCAAAACTCCAGCCCGTCGCGTTAGCCACTAGACGGGCTGGAGTTTTGAGACTCTATGACCGCGGGTTCAATCCCGGCCGGGGGTATGGTTTGTTTGCAATCGTGTCATTACGATTTCTTAAGTCTGGTGTTACCCATTCGTCTATATCTTCAGGAGGTCGCTCAGAATCATGCTTACACAAATTTTCGCTTGCCTTATTTGGTAAGAGGAGCCCTGCTGTTTAAGTCAAAATCGAAAGTTTTATCTATTCGGTAAGACATACTTATTCATAAATCTGTAATGGACGGAAGGCGGTTTAGGGGTCGTCCTAGGAAAGGATGGAGGGAAAGGGTAAAGGAGGTTTTGTGTTCAAGAGGCTTGGACATACAGCAGGAATGTGTGAACATGTTAGATAGGATTGAGTAGAAACAAATTATTTTTTCTGGACTTAATGAGTTGCTGGACTGTGAGTAGGAATATATTTTGTGAGGGATTCAGGGAAGCTAGTTAGCCGGACTTGATTTCTAGAGGTGGGAAATACAATGACTGCACTCTGAAGGAGAGGTTTGGGATGTTTGCTATTTGTATGGACATCTAAACTGTCGTGTCTGCCCACCTCTGGCAAAACAGTAATAATGTGAAAGATGGCGAAAATGTTGCTTTTTTGAGTCATCCTGCCTTGGTGGGAGACGGCCAGCGTGTCAGTGGTTTAAACAAGCAGCACACTGACGATATGTTCAATATTGTTTGAAAAACCTTCCATTTTTTCTCAGTCATCCACTTAACTTCTTTCACAGTGCCACCCATGTCTATCGACCTCATGGGCGTTGATGGTCCAATTTCCGCGAACGTGGGAGTGACGATCGTATGCATCGTGGTGGGGGCGAGGCCCTCGCCCAATGTAAGCTGGTGGCTGGATGGTCGGGCCGCTGAGAACAATGGAGAGAGACAACGAGACAACGGCAATGTGACGGAGAGCAAGGTAGTGGTGGTAGCTTCTTCAGAGGACCAGGGTCGCTACCTTTCTTGCAGGGCGGAGACTCCTGGTCTGCTTCAATCCTCACTCGAAGACGGCACTAAGCTAATTGTTCACTGTGAGTTTTTTTTAGTGAATATTTTGCCCTTCAGCTAGACAGGCAAATGTTATGGCCATTCTTTAGTGAGTGTAGATGAACAGTGCTGAAAGCCTTTCATTGTTTGCTGAGAGGTCTTAATAATCCCATGTATTCATTAGAACCAAGAAATAAAGAAAACACTGGACTAGACCTGTTAGCCTGAGGGAGCTATTTTCGGGTTAGGCAAAACAAATTATAATAATGGAGCACTGCAATAGTCCTGCTGGCCAATTTAAATCATATAATTAGCAGCAGAATGAAGTTTAGCATCAAGTCTACTGCATATACAATGTAATTTATACTCAGTAATTCTTGGTATAAACCTTGGTAATAAATACCGACAAGTTGGTTTAGAAAGACACGTAAGCAAACACTATAACATATTTATTAGAAAACGTTTCGGTCCTGGGACCTTGATCACTTCTGTATGTTAGAAGTGATCAAGGTCCCAGGACCGAAACGTTTTCTAATAAATATGTTATAGTGTTTGCTTACGTGTCTTTCTAACTCAGTAATTCTTAAGAGTATGTTTGCTCTATATGCATTGCTACTCATATATTTAGTTATTCATAATAACATTTCAAACGAAGTCTGCTGTATAACTACTGACCTGTATTATACGGACCTAATGTCCCACAACCACCAAGTAGTATAAGAACTTTAGAGCGAAGAAGCACTACAGAAGGTCTACTGGCCCATGCCTAGCATAATCCAGTAGACTAAACTTATTTTTATTTTCCCGAATGAAAACCCTTTCCAGCCAATTTTTCCGCCCTGCCTCTAACCATGAAAAAATTTGTTTCCCTTGTTCCATGTGAGGCCATTTTTTTTTAAAGTCTTCTATGTGGGACTCTTTTAAAAAGCGAACCCAGTCGATTACATTGTAATCACCATTGTGGTTATTCCCCTCGAAGGTTTTCTAAACACGAAAATGAAATCGTGGGCTTCTTTGTGATTTTTTTTTTGGGATAATTTTTTCAATTCCCGCTCATAAAGATTGCCTTCAATTATAACTGAATTTATGTAAAAATGTGGTCACGGCATTTTTTTTTGAAGACTTTTTGCTAAGGGGACATGATTGATAAGGTTTTTTAATTTGATGTCCCAAAATTGGCGGAATTGACAAAGATGATTTGTCCCCGGGTTTTGGGGGATAGCATCATATTAGCACGCTTCCACACATAAATTTTTAAAACCTGTTTAAATAATTAAGAAATGACTGAAAAGGTATGGTGTCCCATTATATGTAGAAAAGACACAAAGCATAGTTCAAAGATTTATGAGGAAAAATATTGTAAGGTACTTCATTTCACTACGACAATTATGATACCATCATCTTTTATCACGTAAAGTAAAAGGAAAAGTGAACTAATGTGACATTTATTGTGGAACGTTTCGCTCTCCAGGAGCTTTTTCAACCCATTACAAAAATACATGGAACGGGGGGGTATAAAAAGGCTCAGAGAGTGAATATAGTGAGGTCCCATTCCGATGTTCACTTGGGAGTAGTAGTATAGTATGGTAGTGACAAAAGCAATTAATTCGTAATGAGTAAAAGGATATAAAACTATTATTGGGTAAAAAAAATAGGTTTGGGCAAATATAAAAAGGAAGAGGCAGGTTGTTTTTGTTCCTCTCTGTGCTTTTTAGTATAAAGGAGAGACTATGTGTGCAGGGTTTATGTTTTTGGGGGGATTCTTGTAAACTTCGGGATGGTGAAACTGCCCTTGTTTTGTTTAATTTTATTCGAAAAAGCGATCAGGTGATTCAAAGGCATTTGCGTGTGCGGAAAATTTTTTCTTTTATCCTAAAGGGCGTCCTGAAATTTCTAAGATGATTTGGGGGATTTTCGGGGTTGTACACAGGCTTGTTTTGTTGTCGTTCCACAGGGGTATATGTGTTTTTATTGAGGGGGTGTCGAGGTTTTCTTGCTGTTTACCCACGTAGATTTGTCGCAGCTCCCCAGGGGATAGGTAAACTCCGCATTGACTGTTCGTGGGCTTGGGTTTTGTCCTGGTTAGATCCTTTATTGAAGTGGTAGAAGCGATGGCGACTATGGTGTTAGCTTGTGAAAGTATTTTGAGACGTTTAGTGCAACCTGGCTGTGGGAGATTATACTTTGTTGGGGAGCGGTTTTGATGCGTGGAGAATTGATGATCATGAAGGAGCTCTTTTCTGCAGTCTTTTGATGAATAAAGAAGGAAATTGTAATCAGTGAATGTTTGGTGAATGTACGTACAATCCTCGTCAAGAAACTCAGGACTACAAATTCGGTATGCTATTAGGAAAAATCCGTTGTGATGCCTCCTTTTGGTCTTGGTATCTTGACTGGAATAGGAAGTGTGTGAGATCATTTTTATTGAGTGGGTTCCGATAAACTTGAAAATCTTAGGTTGTTGTCTACTTTGTGAATGAGGGACGTCGAGGAAAGGTAGCTTGTTCATGACTCTTATTTCTAGTGTAAACTGACATCGCTGGTTCAACTGCGTTGAGCCTTGCCTGTAGTATCCCGTACATCAAAACTTTTTGGAGTTTATTACGAGGACATCGTACACGTAACGTAACCAAGTGACGCTGAAGGGATGATGTTGGCGAATGTGTTCGATTCTAGGTGTTCCATTGTTTATAGTTGGCTGGACGCGCACTTATTGGGGACCCCATTCCCATGCCGTAGGTTGTTTGTAGAGCTGTTTTTGAGGAAAAAACAGTTGAAGTTAACAGATTACAGAGGTCAATCAAGTCAAACAAAATCTCCTGGGAGGTTAAAGGAAGATTAGGTACTTGGTGGACTTTACGTCGTAGAACCTCGAGGTTCTTACGACGTTAAAGTCAACCAGACCTTAATTACTTCCTTTACCTCCCGGAGATTTTGTGACTTGATGAACTGTGTTAACTTCAACCTGTTTTTCCTTCAATTACAAGCTTACAAACAAACCTACGAGTAAAGTCAACCATGACCTTAATCTTCCTTTAACTTCCCGGAGATTTTGTTGACTGATTGTAACTAGTGTGTTAACTCATATGGTTGTTCTTCAATAACAAGCTCTACAAATCAAACCTACGGCATGGGAATGGGGTCCCCATAAGTTGCCGTCCTAGCCAACTTAGACTTGGAAAACACCTAGAGTCCGAACTCACTTTCGACAACATCATCCTTCATGCGTCACTTGGTTACGTTACGTGGACGATGTCATCATAATAACTCCAAAACGTTTTGATTTCGGAATCTTCAGCAAGGCTCAACGCTCAGTTTGAACCTGCGATTCCGTTAAAACTAGAAGAAGAGTCCAATGGACAAGCTACCTTTCCTCGGACGTCTTCATTCACAAAGTAGACAACAACCTAAGATTTCAAGTTTATCGGAAATCCCACATAAAAATGAATCTCACCACACTTCTATTCCAGTTCAGATACCAAGACCAAAAAGAGGCTCTATCGGGTTTTTCCATTAGAGCATAACCGGATTTGTAGTCCTGAGCTTTCTTGACGAGGAATGTATTACATTCACCAAACATTCAATGAGTTAACAATTTCCTTCTTTTTTCATAAAAGATGCAAGAAAAGGAGTCTTCAGATCATTCAATTCTCCACGCATCAACACCGCTCCCAACAAAGTTATAATTCTTCCAACAAGCAGGTTGCACTAACGTCTCTAATAGTACTTTCACAGCTAACACCAGAGTCGCACCAATCGCTTCATACCACCCCTCAATTAAAGGATCTATCCAGGACAAAACCCAAGACACACGACAGTCAAGCAGGAGTTTACACTATAACTGTGGAGGCTGCGACAAGATCTACGTAGGTGAAACAGCAAGAAACCTCGAAACCGCCTCAATGTACACATATACCGCATGTAGGAAACGACAACTTAAAATCTACGCCTGAGTACAACACACGTATAATTCCCACCAATCATTTATGAAAATTCAGAGACGGCCCATTTAGTGTAAAAAGAAACTAATTTCCTCAACACGGCAAATGCCACTTGAATCAGCACTGATCGCTGTTTCGAATTACAATTTAAATCAAACAACGGCAGCTTCACCATTCCGAAGTCTTAGCAAGATAATCTCGCTGAACAGTAAAACCATGCCATCAACTTAGTCTCTCCTGTTATACTACAAGCACAAGAGAGTGGAAACTTGAAATACAAACCTGCCTCATTCCTGTTTATATTTGTCAACCTATTTTTATGTACCCATGTAATAAGCTTTTTATCCTTTTACTCATGTACGATATTAATTGCTTTTGTCACTTACAATAATACATACTACTCTGACACTAGTGACATCGGAAATGGTACCTCACTAGTATTCACCTCACTCTGAAGCCTTTATTACCACTCTGATGTCCCATGTATTGTTTGTAATGGCTTGATAAAGCTCCTGGAGAGCGAAACGTTGCCACAATAAATGTCACATTAGTTGCACTTGTGTCCTTTTACTTTACATATTGTCGGTAATTCTACCAACTTTATTACAATCATTAATCACTCCATCACTGCCTTGCTAGATGTAGCGCTGATACTACACTTCAGATACGCTTCCGAACTGCAATATCCCACCACTCTTTTAGAGCTCAGACACTGTACTTCTATACATTCAAGATTTAAATCCAGCTAACAGGGTTTCCCTTATCGCTTCAATACTGGCATTTTGCTGACACTCCCACATCACAGCCTCTCATTCCTGTCTAGCACGCTCTCATCCGCCTGTTTCATGTCGAAACCATTCGCTTGCAAAAACTCCTTTTCTTGCCTCCCTGAAACCTTTCCTAAAATACACACACACACACACACACATACACACACACACACACACACGGTGTGTGTGTGTGTCACAACTGGAAGCTGAAGACTCAGACGAGTCACAGGGACGTTAGGAAGTATTTCTTCAGTCATAGAGTTGTCAGCAAGTGGAATAGCCTAGCAAGTGAAGTAGTGGAGGCAGGAACCATACATAGTTTTAAGAAGAGGT